GTCATATTTTCTCATTAGTTCCTTTTGGTTGTCACAAATACGATTTTCCAATGTTTTTAGAGTTAGACTGAAAACATAAAAGCTGTGCATGTATATGGAAAAGACAATTATTTTCCAAGGATCTTTTATATCTTTTCTTACAGGTAGAATCTTGCACAGTTTAATTCATTAACCTTAAGCTTTCATTTAAGTCAAAGAATGTAGGGATTGGTTGGCTAAGAGAAGAAAATTGCAGAGGTTTGAACGACTTACTTTCTAATTTGACTTTTTTTTATATTACTTTTAAGCTCTTACATTTTGCATTGCATCATGGAAAGTCAAAAACCTTGACTTGGTGAATTCACTGCACAGATTTATATGTGGGAGCCATCAAGATGATGGACCTATATTTGAAGTTCTCAGTAGACATATATATGTCTCGGTCATGCAGGTTTCTTACTTTTGAAGAAGAGACTTGTTTGCAGAGAAGCTTTATACCAGTAAATCTTTGTACGCTGAAGTAATTTTTCTGGTCATGTGTACAGACCATGTGGGAAGAGCAGTATATACAAATACATCTTAATAGGCAAATTTCCATAGTTTCTGTAACCCAGATTGAGAGTTTTTTCCTGATATATAATTACTGGAATTTTATCAACTTTGTCATTATATCCTTTTCTTCTTGAGATTTGTTTAGCTTTTCAAGTAAGACATTTTTAGAAATTATAACAGTAAGAGGCAATCTTAGGGTTTTTTTGTCCCTGAACATAATCAGCTTTGGGGTGTTGGAATGTTGATATGTTAACAACACAGTGCTGAGCAAGCTCTAGTTGTCTTACAAACATCAGTGGTCTTGTAACTCTATTTTGTATTAACAGTAGGTAGGTATGGTTTTAGTTATATTCTTCGTTTCTGAAATATTGTTTGATTGGCTTGTTTATGTGAAATAAATCTCTGCTCTTTGCCTTTTTCTTGGTCCTGATTGCACTGTAAATTCTATACTGTGTGATATTAATTTCTTACTTTCAGAATCAAATGCAATAAAACCGAATTGCACATCAGTCTATCAGAGAATAGCATTCATAAAATATTGAGTAGATATAGGGAAAGCTTGGCATAAGAACTTGTTAGATAATATTTTCAGGTTTAATGACTAAGCAGTTTCTTCCTAAAGTAAGTATTTCACATTCTCTGTTTTGATATTTTCATGGTTCTAAATAATACTCATTTACAAAGTAAGAAGTGAAGAGATTTTAACTTTGGCCAGCTCTGATCCAGACTTGTATATTATCACAGCCTTAATTATAGTCTTGTTTCTTTGTTCCTTGGCTAATGAACCCTTGTTTCATTTTTGGTAATAAGTTATCTTCAGTGTGAAAATTACTTTTCTTCCAGGTAGAATGTTTATATTTTCGTACATTTGGAGGAAAAATGTAAAAGAAATACCTGTGTCCCTGTAACTTTTACTACTTCATCGAGACAATGCATGTTTTTTGTTATTAAAATTAGTATGATGTTATTAAAATTAGGATGAGCTGATAAAAGCCTGTTCACTGACCTTGGGTTACTAAAGATTTGAGATCTCTCTACCTTGGCACACAGCTGTTGTTACTTACCATGTCTAAGAGGCTTCATGTTAGCTCCCTGACAGATAGGGGTTAATCCCCAAGTTTTCTGGGACTCGATTGCCTGTTTTGCTCACTTCTCTCTGCTTTAAATAATAACTTTGCTTCTTTTCTTTACCAGTATTACGCTGATGTGTTTAACATTAGGCTTCTTTGTTGTCTAATTCAGCAATGTCAGAAATATAAAGACTTCCAAAGATAGATATGGCAATAATTTGATATAATTTTGATGGATTATTACAACAGAATTAACATGACTTGATCCTTGCTTTCTAGAAAAGGTTAATTTCATTTTATTCTTTTAACCTTTTTCTTTGCTGTCATATTTAAGAAAGATTAAAAGGTAAAAGTAATAAATACACAAGTACTCTTATTTTTCCTTACACTGTAAGGAAATCAGTTGTTACTCACACATATGTATTGTTTGACCCTCTACAGAGCAGAGGCTAATGAGGCCTCTCAGAGGCTAAAGTGTTTCTTCTGTCTCTGCATGTTGATTTACATGCGGATGATCTATAGAAAAGATAATAGAAATTAAAACTAAAATTAGATTGACTTACACAAGTTTTAGAAAGCAGACAAAAAAAATGTATAAATTCAATATTTCAGCTATATTTAAAACTTTTCTTCTCCAAACTAGATATGTCATTACCTCATTCTTTTAGATGTTAGCTGATTTTAATATTTAAACAAAAAAAACCAAATAAACAAACAAAAAGAAATGAGTCATTCAATGCTACATTTTTTGCCTTTTTTTTTCTTCTATTTAATGAAAATAGCTAAAGACCATGAAGGGTTTTTTTCCTCATTAGGAGAAAGTGAACAGTATTTCATTTAGGCTCCAAGATGTCACTAAGAACAGGATTGGAGTCACTCAAGCCACTTGAAAAAACTTTAACCCTTAGAGCTGGCACTGTCTGAAAGGATTAAAGATTATAATTATAAAGGCCACACAGGCAAATACTTTTGTCCTTTGCTCCTGGAATCGAGTGACTGACTGCACCTACAATTTCTTCTCAAGCACTACATGTCTAACACTCTTTATTTGTTATGACAAGCTTGTAAATATATACTGGCAGTCTTTATGGGAAGGGGGACAGAAACTACAACTTCCTTTCTTCGCACTTGAGCTGATTTTGTTTGAAGTCAGAGAATGGCCAACATCCTGAGATTTAAGTATACAAGGATGCTGAAGGATGCACATGCAGATATGCCTATGTGCAGATAATACAAATTTGTCCCTGATTGATTGAAAATTGGTGTAACTGAAGTTGTAGG